ATATATATATATATATGCACCCCCTCCACCCTCCCCCACACATACACCACACACGCGCGCGCGCGCACACACCAAAAATACACACAGCCGTAGATTTTGATCTATAGCTGTGGGATCTACGTTAAAAACTGCCATCGGTTGTACGCGCGAGTGCAAGGAACGAGTCTTTCCGGGAAAAGCATCTCATGTAAAAGGCATCACGCGGATCTTATCCATTGCATATACGTCGGACGAGATCGACGGCCGAAATCATATCGTCTGGCCTTTAGCGAAACTTGTCGAAAGAAAAGAACCTCTGCGCACTGTGCTCGCCACGGATTCAGCAACGGTGTTCCAAATGCGACGTGACGTATCATAACGCGACATCGGTCGCGTGTCGAGAACGAGCGTAACGAGAACGGCGCGGCGGAGCGTTGAACGCACACTTTACTTCCGTATGGCGTATAGAGCACGGACGCGGGAGCTCTCGCATCAATGGAAATTGTCAACCCTGAGAGATTATTAAAATCCAATGTGCTAGGAATCGTGTCAAGGACTAAGCGGACGGGCTAACGGGAGCATCCGCTTGGCCCTGGGACTCTAACGTCGCACATTTATTTTTACTCACTGTTTGCGCGCTGCCCTTCGGACCTCGAGCCACCGCTTCGCGTTTACCGTGATCGGTGCCGCGCTCTCCCGGAGTAGTCACACGCTCTCCGAGTTATCTCCTTTGCATGCGGCCTGCGAACTTTGCAGCGACCAGAGTTGAGGTATCTTCTCGCGGATCGCGTCGCGTAACGTTAGCGACTTGACGGCGACGCGCGGACTCGAATCTCGTCGTCGTCGTCGTCGTCGTCGTCGTCGTCGTCGTTGTCGATCTCTCGAGCGATGAACGAGTGGCGTCGCGCACGGATGCACCGTTCGCCATCCAACGTTGAACTGGCTCCTTTGTTTAGTAAACAGAAACAGCTGAGCGGCTGACGGTGGAGGTGGAGGCGGCAATGATGGTGGTGGCGAAGGCGGCGAGACCACGACGTTCATTATCGACCACATCGCGCGTGCGCGATGCCCGCGATCGCGATCACGTGGTCCCGTCGCTGGAGAACAGTCGCGGCACTTCCGTCGACTACCTTTCGTCTTTGAGACCAAAAATGAAATTTGCTTGGGACTTTTTGCGTTTTTTTTTTATCAATTCCAGATTCTTTTATAATTTTATCATTTTCAACAATTCGTAAAATAAGCATTTTTTTTTTTATGTGAAGCATTGAAAAAATAGAATGTTTTTTTTAGCCACTTCACAGCAACGAATGTAAAAACTCGTATGATCGAAAGCTTTACTTCCTGACAAGATGCCTCGAAATAATTTTCTATAAAAATATTCGCCATTTCGCGATTTAAGATTTCAAAAATCTCGTTGTCTTCAACCTTCTCCAATATTAATTTCAATTTATACTTAAAGGATACATATCTCTTATTTTGAAAACAAACAAAACAATTTGCAAACAGTCGTTGATAACAGAAAAACACGTATCCATCGAATCCAAAATTTCAATTTACGAATGTCAAGTTGGACCCTGAATGTACTTGCAAATATATGTATACACATGTATATACGCATATAATATATTATACATTTTTCGAAAACAGCAAGACAGAACATTGCGAAACGTGTAAATTTAATATCCAATGTGTGCGAAAAAAGAGAAAAGAAAAAGGCGTGCTAAGTTAAAAAAATGTCACACAAAAATCAGGTTACGTAATACATTTATGCCGCCAATGTTTGTGAAAGAAGTTACACAGTCTTATCTTGTACTTACGGAAGTGCGTAAATCAGGAGAACGTTACCCGGGACTGCATTGTTGAACACGAAAAGTTACTTTGGTTGATGATATAATTTAAATATAGAAAAGACCAAAAAGATTATACAAAAGATTTAAACATTATGTTCTCGAAGCAATGTTCATGTAGCGAGACCGTTGAGGGGAAAGCGGATAACCAGCGTTGGCATGGCGATTTTCTATCGCGTTTTCTAGATTATTTTATATATATATTATATTGTATATGT